CATATAATTCATATTTCATTTTGTAGACAATAAATATTCAGTAAGATATACTAAAAACGATTATTAATTCTGAAATGTGCATCTCAGCTATTATTAATCAGGAGGCTATGTATTATGTTATAAAGTCTTAAAATAATAATTTCGAATTATTCTATATTTTGGGCTCTGACTTAATTTAACGATGGCCCTATCAGTAGTAATAACAGTATTTGTGCTTTTTTTTAGCCATGTAGTAAAATAATACTATTATTTGAGAGTCAAGAAGAAGTAGTAGAAGAAGAAGAGGAGGAAAAAGAAGAATAGCTTTTTTTTTGTTTTATAATAATAAACGTGTTGAGTATATTGATATTGTTTATGCGATGAGCTTTTTTTTATATCTTTCGGTGTGATTTAAACGTGCCAAATCCTGGTGCCACCTCTGGACCCTACGCTCAGAGACCCCCCCCCCCTTGAAATGACCTGGCTACGGGCCTGAGAGTGTATGTGATAGCTGATACCACACCAGTAGTTTACGGAGATACTTTGGACGTTCATCTTTCAGTGTCTTGAAAGTAATGAGTAAAATCGTGAAGATGCTCCTGAAACAAACAGGTAGCCAAAGAAGGTAAAATCGGTGTGATGTACTCAAACGTCCTTGTTCATGCAATACTCCTGCAGATGTATTCTGCAACAGTTGAAGGCGAAGCATGGATCTTTTAGAAATACCATAAATAAATAATTCCAAAAGTCAATGTGTGAAGCATAAATGAGTATTATATTACTAGAGGGTGGGCTCGCTTCCCTCGCTTACACTCTAGTATGTGAACGTCACGATTAGTTTTGATAAACTGAACATTGTGACCATTAAAAGACGATAGGTTGCATGTTGCATGTTATCTCGCTCAGTTATTTTCTTTACATAATATCAGAAATGCAATGGTAAGGTCATGTTTTTCATCATTTTTAAAGCATACTTCATGGATTTAGAAAATTAGCGTTGAGTTATTAATAGCAGTTTCATATTATAACAGTTTTTAGAAACCACTAAACTGAAATGATAGGGCATTGGTGAGGGGCAGCTAAAGCAAAGTTCATTGAGCAACAAAATCCCGACTGTGCCTGACGAAAATCGGTTGTTTTTTTAACCAACTGTACCTGATAACCGAGTGTGCAAAGTAAACTGTGTTTGAAAGTTGCCCTTTTGGCGTTCCATATAAAACCGGATGCGAAAGTACGTACGTTTAATATTGCTCTTATAGCGTTCCAAATAAAACCACAAACTCAACGTACGCAAACAGTGCCATGTGGTCGGAACAGCTAAGATCCAGTGAAAAACGATGGTAAACTTCATTATTTTTTCCTCAATAAAGCTGATTGCATTATATATTCACTTCGTGAGATGGAGACTACGTTAGTCTAGGTTGTTAAGTTTTTCAGACCGGTTTTTTGAGTGCCTCGGTTTTGCCTATAGACTTTGAAATAAGCGTAATTATAATATACAGTAGATAAATTATAATAAGCAATTAGTAGAGCTCCGCATAGTACACTACAGGAAAATTATTGTACGAAGGTTAGATTTAATGCTTGAAAAAAATTGGAATGCATTAAATCTAACCTAAGTAAGTACAATAATGTTCAGGTAGTGTACGATGTATGCTCTACTAATTACTTTATAAGTCAATCACGTTAGGTTTTCATTAGAAATTTAATCTTAATCCAGTTGTAGAGGCCATCAGTTGCTATAGTGATATTTTAAAGTAGTTGCGCGTATGCATTAAGCTGCGCGTATGTGTAGGTGTGCCTAGATGTGAAATGATACCTGGCCAATGAAAACCTAATCAACATCATTGAGTTCTTTGAATTCGCGGAGTTTCATTGGAACGTTGTCTTATTTCAAAATGTATTCCTCAATAAAGCTGATTGCATTATATATTCACTTCGTGAGATGGAGACTACGTTAGTCTAGGTTGTTAAGTTTTTCAGACCGGTAGGTTTTGAACCATAGAGGTTTTTTGAGTGCCTCGGTTTTGCCTTTAGACTTTCAAATAAGCGTAATTATAATATACAGTAGATAAATTATAATAAGCAATTAGTAGAGCTCCGCATAGTACACTACAGGAAAATTATTGTACGAAGGTTAGATTTAATGCTTGAAAAAAATTGGAATGCATTAAATCTAACCTAAGTAAGTACAATAATGTTCAGGTAGTGTACGATGTATGCTCCACTAATTACTTTATAAGTCAATCACGTTAGTTATTCATTAGAAATTTAATCTTAATCCAGTTGTAGAGGCCATCAGTTGCTATAGTGATATTATAAAGTAGTTGCGCGTATGCATTAAGCTGCGCGTATGTGTAGGTGTGCCTAGATGTGAAATGATACCTGGCCAATGAAAACCTAATCAACATCATTGAGTTCTTTGAATTCGCGGAGTTTCATTGGAACGTTGTCTTATTTCAAAATGTATTCCAAAAACTAGGGGGCGTATTTCACAGTTTCAAATATTCTATACCAATTTTAATATGGCGCCCCCTATCACATGGTATGCAGCATGCGCTCTCCACTGACAAAAGCCAAAGCACTCAGACCGTAATGTTCCACAAGACTTCGAGCGGCAGTTAAGTTTTTGCCAGTTAAGTTTTTGCATTGGCCCAGATCGTCAAAACGGGGCCAATCTTATCAGAATATCAAAATAAGTCATTTAAAATTCAAAACTCTTCACCCCAAACGCCACTAGTGCCCTACGCGTTCCCAGCCATGATAATGCTCTAACTAAATCATCTGCAACTAATTTGAAATACTAAGATGTACCAAAAATGAAAAAAAAGAGGAAAATGTAGCTACCATGCATCACGCCTAAAATTTGAAGCCCTCAGGCATATATTATGTAATACCACTGAAGATATTGCAACATGTATTGAAAACATGACGGTTTGAAGAAACCTGTCATCTGATGAATTACGGTATGCAAACGAAAGTTTACTTATCATTTTGTATATAGTGATAATTAATGACTCAAGGTACGTTTACCTTTTCTTATTCTATTCCAGTTCTTCATCATGCTTTTAACGACTTGTTCCATAATCTTAATAAGTAGCATCATGCTGATTACTGTCGGCAAAAAGGGAATGAAGCAGTCATACGAACAGGAAGTTAAAAATAGTATGAATAACTTCGGTTTGAAAGGCTTCGAAAAGCTGACGAACACATGGAACGCGGTTCAATCACAGGTACATAAATAATAATACATATCTATACTATTATTATTATTATTATTATTATTATTATTATTATTATTATTATTGTTTATTGTGGTAATGCCTCTGACGGTTTCTTTTTCCTTTTTTTCTATATTTAGTGATTGTTTTTGTACCATTAACTTTCACTTTTACGAACAATCGTTGATTTTTTTTATGTCCTTTGTTTTTGTTATTATTATTATTATTTATTATTATTATTATTATTATTATTATTATTATTATTATTATTATTATTAGTGGATGGAAAAGCCATTGTTCTTGTTCAAGGATGTGCCTCTTATAAGGAAAACATTCTACACCAGATATTTCAAAAACTGGTCAACTGATCTCTGAATTTAACTTTTGGGAAAGTTTAACCAAGTTACAAGAATGATATTGTTATGTGTTGGTGACTATCCAGTTTAAGGTGCAAATTTGAGGGTTGTTTAAATTTCTGGCGTCCCAGACATAAATATCTCAAAAACTGAATCAATGGGTCAAAACGAAACTTTCTATAATAGTTTGCCATGATCCAATGAAGAAATGATTCAATTGTGGTGACGATCCAGCTTAGCATGTGGATGTGAAGACCATATAAAGCAAAACGTCCCAGACCAGATATTTCAAAAATGAATGAACTGGTCTGAATGAAACTTTAGTGAAAGTTATGAAATTATTACGGTACGTGTTGGTTACGATCCAGTTTAGGGTGTAAATTTGATCGGGTCATTATAAATTTCTGACGTCCCAAACCTAAATATCTCTAAAAACTATTCAATCGGTCAAAACGAAACTTTCTATAATAATTTGTCATGGTCCAATGAAGAAATGATTAAAGTTTTGTGACGATCCGGACAGTGGTAGTGCCAGAATTTGCCTGATGGGGGCCCAAGGTCCCCGACGGAGGGGAGAGAGCTACGTCCCCGACGAGAAAAAGTGGTCGTGGTCGGGCGTCGCTCAAAATTTCCCGAATGTGTTTTAGGGGACAGAGGGCCGAGCCCCGAATCTAGATGTGTATAAGAGACAGATATAATATACGTACTGTATATGTAGTGTTCGGACACTGTATTTATATATATATAGTATTGGAATAAAAGACATAATATTTACCTTTTGTTGATGATTTATATAAAATTTAACAGTGTTAACGGCAATCTTGATTGATATCTGTATCTATATATCTATACTTGTTCTATTAATTAGGTTGAATTTTACAATCACCTCAAATAATAATATAACAAGCAATGTATGTGCTAAATTAACTTTACAATATTTGTTTTCCCATTACTACCTTGCAGCAACAGTGCTGTGGGTATTCATCATCAATTGATTGGAATGGTGTTACTATCAACGGAAGAAAATCTGTATTTCCAGATTCATGCTGTATAGAAAGATTTGAATTCTGTGGACAGAGTGCAAAGACCAGTCAGGTTTTTCCGAGGGTAAGTTGCACAGTATACTTAGGTTCTCCCATATTTATGTGGGTTATTTTTCTTTTCTAAATTTAGGCAGTAACAACCGTTCCTACTTCGCACTCAAAGTAAGACAAATGAGATAGCATTAAAAGAAAAATTAATTCCATAAAGAAATTTCTTCAAGTAAAACAAATACTCACTGTTATTTTGTGGATGAGAGTTTCGCCTGTCAGCATGACTTTTTCAGTTAGATGTGGTTCGTTTATTGTTGCACTGGTCGTTTCTAGGTCTTGCGTAACAATACGTTCTAGTAGGCATGTTGGAAGTTCGTCGTATATGTGTGATTTAAAATGGTCTGAGCCTTCGTCCCTTTTCATATTTTTTCCTGTTTTCTGATGCTAATCGATTCCTTGATTTTCATTTTAACCATGTTTGTTCTTTGTGCAATGTATTGATATTATCCCAGTTTGGTATGTGATTTTCTTTTAACATGTGATGCTTTATATAATTCATTACTGGGTGGGGGTGCAGACGGTGAACGATCGCATCCCCGGCCCTAAATTGTATTAAGAAAAGTAATTGTTTTATTATATTGTTGACATGAATTATTGGTAAAATTTTGTAAGTAATGAGAGTGCAATTTCTGGGCACCCGGTGGTCCATATTCTCAAACTTTCCACACCTTAGCCCCAACCATGTTGAGACTGAGTTGGTGTGGACTCCCATGCACCCACACCTCCCAGTATTATGTGTGTGCCTTTATAATATAATGTGTGTGCCTTCATTATAATTTGAGAAGTATGTGAAAATACCTCAAATACAATTAAGTTAAATTTTTTATGGTACATCACAGCGATTAATTAGATCGATGATGATGAATTTTACTATATAAGAGTATAATATCCGGCAATCTAGAGGTACTATTTCCCGAAATGTTACCACCTCAACCTTGCACGCATCCCCTACCGCCAAATCCTGCATCCGCCCGAGCGTTACACGATGCTTTCCTGCTGACTCTTGTTTTAACTCGAATAATTTTGTCTTCCACATTTTTGTTGGGCTTTTTCATCTTTGTGTTCAGTGCTCTGCTAAACCTTGTAACAGATCTTTTGTCGAAAGACCTTAACGTATGGTACGCCAACATTGTTTTTTTTTTCAGCTGTTTAGTGGAATAAGCAGTTTCTTTGGATTTTCCTTAACCCATTTTTTTTTAAATTTTTCATCTTCCTTCGGCGTAATTATTTTATGACATCTGTGGAGTAATTAATGTACGAACCACGCTTTTTATGATGTGGAGGGTGATGGGCGAAGTGTTTAGGTGTTATTAATGTATCGAGGATTTTAATTGTGTTTTCCGTCATTTCATCGCAGGTGATGCTATCTAACTCAATTGCTTGTTCCTCTACCCATTCTATGAACAGCATAGCAACGATAGGTGAACATTGGCTGCCCATGGCCATACCTTTAGTTTTTGCTATTTGTTATTTTGTTATTTCTTATTTGGTATTTATATTATATAGTTATTTGTTATTTATATAATTGCCAAGCGCCTTGTTCACTCTGGTCTTTAGGTCCACATTCTTTATGTCTGGCACATTGGCTCAATAGCAGGCAACCCCTCCAGGTAACCATTTATACTTCCGTGTAGACAGAAGCAATGCAGATGAAGTGTCTTGCCCAATGACACAAGCGAAATAAACAGCGAGGAATTACAACTGCGACCTCGAGGTTGGGAAACCAAACCGTTCCCGGTGCGACAAACCGCTTCTATGTTATAAAACTTCTCCCCGAAAGCTAAAATATGTAACCTATTTGTGAGTACTAGTTCTAGCATTTCCATAACATCATCAACAGTTAGTGATGTCCTCACGCGTAATGTCGCATCTTAACGTAGTCGATCCTTGATGATATCTAGAGATTTTTCTACTTGTGTTTTCGTCAAAAGTGGCACAACACCAAAATTGTTTCAGACAGGTTTAGGCGGATGCCCATCAATTCTTTCACAGGTTCTTTAGAATTATACACATGGTGAGAGTTACCACCAGAGGTGCTAGCGTGTCCGCTAAGCTACGGGATAGAGTCTACATAATCGACACACATCTATTATTATGTCATCCAAAAAATAACAGTGAGCATTGGTTTACTTTAAGAAGTTTCTCTATAGAACTTACTGGAAACCAGATGAAACTATTTAGGAAGGTAAGTCTATAAAAGTAATAATTTGAAGGAAGATCTTCAATCGTTCAAGTGAAACATTTATAGACACTGTCTGTATGTGATAAGCTAAAAAAATATATACTTTAATTTGTTAATTTTTTCTTAATATTTCTAATTCGTTAAAAATTATATTCTGAAGTCTGATTAATATTTATTTCACACAAACGTAAATAAGTTGGAGCATTGTAATCAAAAAAGTTTTTAGATTCTTTGTAAATCAGAAGTTTATTTGCATTTTACCGATATATTTTAAATGTACATATACATTTTGTTTCATCATAGGGATGCGAGGAAATTATTACACAAACTATCAACAGTGTGATTTCGAATTTGTTTATTATTTCACTTGGATTCGGATTGGGTATGGTAAGTCAGTTGCTAGAAAATCACTTCTATTATGCTTATGATAATGAACTAAATTTAACCCGCGAAGGGAAACAGTCACTACAACCTGGTCTTCTGCTTGATATACATATTTCCTGACCGATACCTTTATGGTTGCTTTTGAACCCGATTAAAAATATTTCTTACGTAAATGTATAATGTATATATATATATGTGTGTGTATAATTATAGAAGATATGGTATAGAATATTTATATTTTAGTAGTAAAAACAAACTGCAACCTTATGTTATATATACTGTAGGCAACACATTTATTTTACTACTGTCTCTTATACACATCTAGATGTGTATAAGAGACAGGGTTTAGGCGGATGCCCATCAATTCTTTCACAGGTTCTTTAGAATTATACACATGGTGAGAGTTACCACCAGAGGTGCTAGCGTGTTCGCCAAGCTACGGGATAGAACCTACATGATCGACACACATCTATATATTATGTCATCCAAAAAATAACAGTGAGCATTGGTTTACTTGAAGAAGTTTCTCTATAGAACTTACTGGAAACCAGATGAAACTATTTAGGAAGGTAAGTCTATAAAAGTAATAATTTCAAGGAAGATCTTCAATCGTTCAAGTGAAACATTTATAGACATTGTCTGTATGTGATAAGCTAAAAAAAATATATACTTTAATTTGTTAATTTTTTTCTTAATATTTCTAATTCGTTAAAAATTAAATTCTGAAGTCTGATTAATATTTATTTCACACAAACGTAAATAAGTTGGAGCATAGTAATCAAAAAACGTTTTTAGATTCTTTATAAATCAGAAGTTTATTTGCATTTTACCGATATATTTTAAATGTACATATACATTTTGTTTCATCGTAGGGATGCGAGGAAATTATCACACAAACTATTAACAGTGTGATTTCGAATTTGTTTATTATTTCACTTGGATTCGGATTGGGTATGGTAAGTCAGTTGCTAGAAAATCACTTCTATTATGTTTATGATAATGAACTAAATTTAACACGCGAAGGGGAAACAGTCACTACAACCAGGTCTTCTGCTTGATATACATATTTCCTGACCGATACCTTTATGGTTGCTTTTGAACCCGATTAAAAATATTTCTTACGTAAATGTATAATGTATATATATATATGTGTGTGTATAATTATAGAAGATATGGTATAGAATATTTATATTTTAGTAGTAAAAACAAACTGCAACCTTATGTTATATATACTGTAGGCCATAAACGTTTTAATTTTTATACCTTATTTCAAGGCTAATAAAGATGTCCAAATTTCAGATTATTTTGATGGTATTCACATTGTGTGTTTTGTGTCGCTCCGATGCTCAACAGCCAGGAAGGGATATCGAAGTAATGGCAATGAAGGTGGATAAAGAAAAGCAAAAGCCACCTAAACCGAAATCTGACGAAGATGAAAACAAGATGTCAGTCAAGGAGAAATTGAAGGGTATATTTAGGAAAAAAGAAAATAAGTCATAGAATAGGCCTATAATATTGCTTAATATTGTTTGTTTACAAGAATTCCAGAATCATGTTCACATACTCATTATAAGTCTAGAATACGAACAAATGCTTATAGATTGATTAATTATTATGATAATAACGAAATATGTCTTAGTGAAAAACTGGAATTTATTTGTTTCGATTTCTTTAAAAACTGGTATGTTTGTAGTCATTCTCGGTCATTCATTCATAATTAAAATTTTAAACGATGATTAATTTTTTGTAAATTTGTATAGAATTTTAATAAATTTGTGTATGTAATTTTATAAAATTTTGTTTATATTTGTAAATGCAGCGAGCTACTTTTAATTTTCATGCATGAATGATGTTTTATCTTACTGTTAGGTTATGCCTAATACATTTATTTTACTATAATATAATGTTGAATACTGTTATGCTATTTTTATTATACTTTGTAATAGTTTAGTCTGTATTAACCATATTGTAGAGTGCATGTATAAAGTTCGTCCTAAAGTCCCCCTCATAAATTTTGTTGTCCAAATCACCCGTTGGGTAATATTCCAAATAAGGTTAAGGGACTGTTGAATCTGAGTTGTGTGATGATGTCATCTACAACTTCATCCTTAAGAAGATGATGTCATTCCCAAATTCATCTTAAAGCTAGTAAATTCATCTTAAAGTTATGTGGTGATGTCTTAATAATCTCCCCCCACATATCCTGTTCATAAATGTATATAATGATGTACAATCCTATCATTTAGTTAGTCCAAAAGTTCTATCATCAGTTATCATCAACTTTATTACAAGTCTTTCTGTCTGCCGTAGTTCATTAAGTTTATCTATAGACCTTGCCGTTCCCGGACACCAGTCTTTGATCCAACTTACTTAGCCGTGGGCTCAGGTAATTCTGTAAGTTTTCGACCATCTTAAAGAATTTAATTGTGTTTTACCACCATCATTTTTGTTCTCTTTTATAATAATGTATCCGTGTTTTTATTAATAAATGTACATATTGTATATAATACTAAGCTATTGCGTTTCCTATTCTCTGTTTGTGCACCGGATGTAACAGAAATTGGGGGTTTGTCCGGGAACCTGAAGTTGAACGATCACAACTTTAATTTTTAATTTGTATTTTGTGATTTGTAATTTTTAATTAATAACATAGGAACACTATGGCCTTTGTTTTGGAACAAATTGTTGCTTCGCCATCCTTGGATATTTTAGAAAAGTGTAAGAAGGTAGAACTTTTAGATATAGCTAAACACTTTGAGATTGCAGCTACTTCTGCTATGCGGAAGCAGGAGATTCGGGCGACTATTATGGGGCATTTAGTTGATGACATGATATTTTTGAAGAAAATGCTCTAGGACTGCACCAGTTAGTGCTAGCGATTGGCAATTTAAAGAATTGGAATTAAAATTCAAAATGGAATTAGAGCTGGAGAAAGAAAAACGAAAAAATGATTTAGAGCTAGAGAAGGAAAAGCTATAGTTCGACTATAAACTGTTTTATAGAATTACTACAGGTCCTACCTTACTTAACACTAACGTCGTGATTTCCCAGTTCTAAACTTCTTGAGATCCAGAGCTCAACTACTACATGTCTTGGGCGATGGGTCTTAAGATCCCAACCCAGCTATTTTTAGATAGCCAATCGGCTCCCAGCATTAGGGAGTGGCCTAATCTATTTATAATAGGGGGGGGGTGGACTGCACCATTTTGTTACATTAACAAAAAATCTCTGCCTTGTACCTCCTTTTAAGGAGGATGATGTTGATAAATGTTTCCTTCATTTTGAAAAAAATCTCTCAAAGTATGAATTGGCCAGAAGATAAACTGACACTCCTTTTGCAGAGTATATTAATTGGGAAGGCAAGGGACGTTTACTCTGCCCTTTTCGTCAGCCAAATTGCTGACTATAGATTAGTTAAAAAATAAATCCTTAATGCCTACAAATTCGTTCCTAAGTCATATCGCCAAAATTTCGGAACTTCCGAATAAATATGGGACAGGCTCATGTAGAGTTTGCCAGGGAAAAGGAGGAATTATTTAATAGATGGTGTGACTCTAAAGATGCACAAACCTTTGCTACACTAAGGCAGTTGGTGTTGCTTGAAGAGTTTAAATCCTGTATACATCCTAATATTCGTACTCACTTGGATAAGCGTAAAATAAACTCATTAGAAGAGGATTGTGCATTAACACATAAACTGTCCTTTGCATCAAAATCCAAGCCAGATTCTGTTGTGGATGTTAAATTAGGTTAGGGTTCTCTTACAACTATTATACCTGTCAACTCCAAGCCCATAGGTAATAAATCAGGAGCTAAGTTTTCACAAGGGTCAGTAGACAAGCACTCTGGTCATAGTTGTCATTATTAAAAAAAACCTGGACATAATTATGTCTGAGTGAAAGGAAGCTAAAGATAAGCCTTCTGACTTTCTTTCTGCCAAACAGCCAAACAATGAATGTGAGGCTACTGAGGTATTAAAGGTCCAATCTGACTTAAAATGCATGGACACGTCTGTTCTTGATGGGTACTCCCCCTTCATGTCTGAAGATTTTGTGTCCCTTTTAGGGGACAATGCTAACCCTAAATCATTAGGGATGCAGGTCCTTAATCCTTTTCTGGGGATAGTGTTTTGCTGCAAGGGATTGAATTGGGTTTTATTAACGTACCACTTCATAATGTTTATCTTAAATCTGATTTAGTTACTGGACCTGTTAAAGTAGGTGTTCGACATGAACTTCCATTTGCGGGCGTCACCTTACTGTTAGGGAATGATTTAGCTGGGGATAAGGTG